GTGCTGCTTTCAACCGCCAAGCAGCTATAAAAAATGAGTATTATTGATAGAATGTTTTGGCTTAAATCCATCATCTTGCTGCTCATTTTCTATCTGTACCACCTGTGGTGTTTCCTCTTTCTGCCTTCATTTAGATTATTATTTCATGCTCCACTTTATCTTCTTTATTGGATTAGTGCTATAAATCTCTATTTGCTTTTTTTTTTTAATCGTAAGGCCTGCTTTACAGCTCAGAATTCTACATCTTAAAATTGTTTTTAACATTTGAGAGAGAGAGAGAGAGAGGGCGTGCGCACAAGCGGGGGAGGGGCAGAGAGAGAGGAAGACACAGAATCCAAAGTAGGCTCCAGGTTCTGAGCTGTCAGCACAGAGCCAGACGCGGGGCTTGAACTGACGAGCGGTGAGACCTGAGCCTACTGAGCCACCCAGGTGCCACACAATTCTACATCTTTATCACAGTCTGTGCTGAAGTCCTACCACCCCACTTCAAGCAGAGTACGGCAACCTCATAATAGTATACTTCCGTTTGTCCCCATCCCACCTTCATTATATTATCGTCATTTAGTTTTTACATATGTTATAAACCTCATACTAATTGTTCTTGCTTGAACAATAAAGTATCCTTTAAATAAACGTAATAAATAAGAAAAATCTTATATATTTACCCATGTAGTTACCATCTTGTGCTTTTTGGTACTCCAGACACTTTTTATGTTGTGACTACTGGATATAGTTTTATTCCTATGTGTTGTCGAGCTTTGTTCTGGGACACAGTGAAGTTACTTGGAAACAGCTTGATCCTTTTGCCTCTTGCATGTAAGATTTGTCAAGGTTAGATGAGGGCTAAGTCTTGACATTTCATCACTCCACACTACTCACCACCATTGTGGGTACTCGCACTTCCCAGACAGTCTTGACACCCTCCATTCTAGCTAGTGGGAAGTGTGACCTCTAACCTCTCGGGTAGGTCAACCTTTGCATGGCCCCAGGTAGCCTCCGCACCTGCACGTAATTCCCTCCTAACCCGTCCTGTGGCTCTGGGCCCCCAAGATTCCTAAGTCTATGTCCTTAACTCAGCCTGTTCTATAAGCTCTGACTGGGGTCCCACACCTGGTACCAGGAGATGAGGACAGTCTCAGAGCAAGAGGGCAGGGCCATCCCAAAGCTTATTTTACTTGTTTCCCGTCACTTGGGGATCATTATACTTTCTTGCTTGATACCCATGTCGTAAAAACCATCACTACATGTATGTTGTCAATTCTTTGGTCGTTTGAGGCTGGAAGATAACGTGGCTCGTGGTCTCAGGTGGAAACATGAGTCTTCGGCTATTTATGGGGGGAAAAAAAGGCTGATTCAGGGATGAACTAAGAGTATGCAGGGCAGAGCACAAAGCCCCACAGAATCACCTCCAAGAAGCAGGACTGCAGTCCTAATCAAGAAACTGGCAACATACACTCGACTTGATGTTAGAACTAGTCAACAGTGATGGCAATGTGTCTCGAATTTTCCATCTTTTTCACTGAAGGTGCCTATACTGAAGTTATTGTGTGCTTTTCTCACTATTGTGTGTTTGGGTTGCAGATAATTTGTCTCTTAAACTCACACATCTTCAGATTGAAGCATCTGAAGGGCCTCGTGTATCTGAGCCTGGGTAGTTGGGATCCTGAATCTCCAGCCCAGGCCTAGTGCATTCCTGGGATAAGGCTTCCTTGGGAGGACTTGAATGTATTTTTAATGTGGGAGAGTATAAATTGGTGGCCGGAGGGCAGACTGTGGTGGATGAAGGGGGGCCACCAATGATTTGACACTACTCTCAACAAGAGGTAGAGTTATGACCCCTCTTTTGGAATGTCGGTGGGTTCTGTGACAACTTTGACAGACAAAACACAGCAAAATGACGCGGTGCTGATTTCCGGTCCCAGGCCCTAACTAAGAGAGTAGCACCTTCCACCTCTTCTCTCTTGGAAGCATCTTTTGGAACAGAAGTCAGAAGTCATAAGGTAAAGCCCAACTATACTGAAACTGCCATACGAGAAGAGAGTGTCATCAGTCTGTCCCCAAGCTGTCCCAGGCACCAGACATGTGAGTGAAAGACTATTTCGACTATTCCAGCTCCACGCACACATGGCCCATGTGAAGAACAGAGGCCCTACACGTGTGGCCCCAGTCATCTCCAGACGCTTGAGTCACTCCAGCTGAGGCCCCAGACATCAGGAAACAGAGGCAAATCATCCAGCTGAGCCCTAAACAAAGTCCTCATCTATACAACCACATGGTGTAATGAAATGGTTGTTATAAATACCTGGAACGAGAGGGAAATCAGGAGTTCAGGTGGGATGTCCATCTCACAGATTAGATACAGTAGAGATGTCACCTTGGTATTTGTTTCCGGAGTTCGCTGAAGAGGTCCAGGATGAAGGCATAAATTTGAGAGGCGTCTTCCTTGTCCTGTTCTACTTTTCCTTTTTCCATAGCACTTACCACCTCTGACATTTTCTGGATAATTTATTTACTACGTTTGTCTTCCTTGATACAATATGAACTCCTCAAAGGAGGCATTTTTGTTTTATTCATAGTGTATTCCCTGCACTCAGAACAGTAACCGGCACAAGGAAAACACTCAAATATTTGTTGAATAAATGAGCCAACCTAAAGGTGGTCCATAGGAACATTTTAAGTATGACATCACTTTGAGACACAGCATGTAACAGAGAACAGGTAAGAAGTGAGGATGGGCATTTCAACACATGACCGGCTGGAGAGGAACCAGCAAAGGAGGCTGGGAGGACGGAGCCAGCAGTGAAGGAGAAATAAGAAACTGCACTCTGGAAGCAGAGAAAGTGTCTCGAGTCTGTCAGTGACGCCAACAGGCGAGCAAGAGGAACATGGGCAGTAATTACGTGATTTACCGATGTGGCAGGTTCACGGAGGACCTTGACACAAGCAGTTTTAGTAGAACGAGG